GAAAGAGACTTAAAAACTCATCATTTGTAATACCTAAAAAAAAAAGAAAAAGTTCCGGACTCTAGTATTTCGATGAAGTGTCTCCATATTTGAAATATGACTTGGTGATCACGCCGCGTAGCGGAAGCTACAGACAAAAACGTGGTATATTGAAATTCATTTTTTTTTAGCTTCTGAAAAGGCTTTTGGAAAGCAACTGAGTCTGATAATTAAAGAACATCGGAATATTTTCTAGAGAACTTTTTTTATTCCTCCTATAATAATAATAACTCCACCTTACTAATAGATGTCAGTCAATAATAGCTTCACCTTACTAATAGATGCCATTCAATAATAAGTCCACCTTACTAATAGATGTCAGTCAATAATAGCTTCACCTTACTAATAGATGTCATTCAATAATAACTACACCATACTAATAGATATCATTCAATAATAAGTCCACCTTACTAATAGATGTCAGTCAATAATAGCTTCACCTTACTAATAGATGCCATTCAATAATAAGTCCACTATACTAATAGATATCATTCAATAATAACTCCACCTTACTAATAGAGACCATTCAATAATAACTTCGCCTTACTAATAGATATCATTGAATAATAACTCCACCTTACTAATAGATGTCAGTCAATAATAACTTCACCTTTCTAATATATACCATTCAATAATAACTACACCTTACTGATAGATATCATTCAATAATAACCCTACCTTACTAATATATGTCATTCAATAATAACTTCACCTTACTAATAGATGCCATTCAGTAATAACCCACCTTACTAATAGATTTCATTGAATGGCATCTATTAGTAAGGTGGAGTTATTATTCAATGGTCTATTAGTAAGGTGTAGTTATTATTGAATGATAGTTATTAGTAAGGTGGGGTTATTATTCAATGACATCTATTAGTAAGGTGTAGTTATTATTGAATGATATCTATCAGTAAGGTGAAGTTATTATTGAATGGTATCTATTAGTAAGGTGTAGTTATTATTGAATGATATCTATTAGTAAGGTGTACCATTCAATAATAACTCCACCTTACTAATAGATGCCATTCAGTAATAACTACATCTTACTAATAAATGTCATTCAGTAATAACTCCACCTTACTGATATATGTCATTCAATAACAACTTCTCTTCGGACTTACAACGCTAGAAACCGGGTTTCGATACCCATAGTGGGCAGAGCACAGATAGTTTGTAGCTTTGTGCTTAATTACAAACAAACAATAATAACTTCACCTTACTAATAGATGCCATTCAACTACGAGCATTAGGTCTTAATAAGAAAGGGAGATGATATATAGATTTAATCAACTTTAGTAGATCCTTTGAATTGGTTTGTAATGTTTTGAATAATTATCACAAAGCCTTTAAATGAATTAGTAAAATGTCGTTAATGAATTAGAAAAATAATACTTTTAAATTTGACGTTTTCATTCGATACAGAGAATTTACAACTAGAGACAAGAAAAAAATCCTCAGAACAGCAGATACCAGAAGGAAATATAACACAGTATATGAAAACTTTAAGTTTCCTAAGTCAGAAATGTACAGATGGCGCGATCTTCTTTGTGTGTAAATCGTAATATGCTTCACTTGGCTAACTGTTATAATATAAATGGTTTGTAATGTTTTGATTGTACGCTGTTGTGGTTGACATAATTAACATCGAAACATATAGAGCATCTATTCTGAGACAGGTTACGGTCTCAGAATAAAGTGTGTCTTTTAAATTATGTACTTAAAAACAATTTAATTAGTTATTTACACAATTAGCTTGAAGTTTTGATCTTAAACACTGGAAGTTTCAAACTAGTTAGTATTGTATAACACTAAATTGGTCGATATTAAACGTAATCAAATTACATTAATGTCTTACGTCTCAAATTGATTCATCTTTAAGGAAAATACAAAAGTTTCAAGAAATTAGTTCGAAGTATATAGATAAATAGATCGATAAACCGAACACTTAAATTGCTCAAACTGTACTAGGTGAGTTTTTTAAGAGCTTAGATCTTCAGGACTTCACAGTCAGTACCTATTTAAAATAGCCAACTGATTATCTTTCGATTAGCCCTTACTCATCCTTTAACTACATGTGATACCTACAAGTATCATTGTTCTTGTAGCTATTAGATTTTCGCTTCAAAGTTGAGAGAACTTAATTTTTGTTGGCTGGGCTTCCCCTCTATGGTGTTTTGTAGAGTTATTGTCCCATGTTGACAGATCATTGTTTATTATAAATATTTCTCTGTTGCTTTCCTACAGGTTTCTAAACCCCTACAGGATTTCTCTTTATGTTAGTGTATATTCCAGAATCTCTAATACTAGGAAATAAAATACCTTTGTGGTTGCTTTTATGATCTCGAATAAAAATAAATAATAATTAAAATAACATAAACCAGCCCATGTAATCATGCACGGTAGAACACGTTGAATTGTGAAAGGGTTCTATGAAACTCTAGAGGAACAAAGAGAAGGAAACCTTGAATGTTTAATGATATTTCCCCATAAATAACGTAGTCGGATGAATACAAACAGTATAAACGTGTTATTAAAATCTAAAGGTGAGGCTTATGACAAACTCTTAAATAAATTATCTACACAAAGCTGTCATGAGGTTGTTAGATACTTGATAGTTTAAATATATTAATAATAAGTATTCATTTTCTGAAATTAGAAATTATAACGATTACAGGCAGACAGACACACGAATATTTATATAAAACTACATGACCATAGATGCTGAGTTATCATGAAAAACTATGTTTAACTCAACGTGCATCCTCAAACTTAAGGGATTATCTAGTCAGCTAGTTCTCTTTCTTCCTGATAGATTGCTGATTTTATACTGCTGTGTGTGTTCGTTTATTTGTTTCCTTGAACAAACATGATTTAATGCGGAAAAGGTTATTCTATAGTTAATAGGATATTAATGTTTTTTATTTTATGTGTATGAACCTTATTATTATGTGACAAAAACTTTATTGTTAAGGTTATTTATGTTTATGTGGTTTACGAGTATAAATTCCTTAAAGAAATTTGAAGAGTTAAATATGTGCTAGAAAATAAGAAAATCGTGCATCATCTATTTTCGTGTTCACTAATTAATATTTGAATATTTTAAAAGTGACAGCTGCTTTGTACGCGGAGTTCTCGGTTCGAACTGTGTTTACTCCTAGTTTTCTCTGTCAGATACTTGTTTATAAATTTAAACTGCTCATTATAACTTAATTGTAAGACTTATGACTTTTTATGATGGTTGTTTTGTAGAGACATTAGTTTTATGTAAGACTTAAAACCGCAAGATTTTTCAGATTTCTCTTCTATCAAAGATGTATTAATCTGCTAAATTATAACATTTTATTTAGTTGATAGATGTTCGTGTATGTATGCATATATATATATATATATATATATATATATAT